TGGTATAAGCTTACCAGATGATGGAGGCAGCAAGGACATCTGAAACGTTTATAAACTTCTACCTGACTACACGCCGCTACAACGGAGATGACAGCTATCTTATATTTTGTGGTTGTGGAAGTCTTATGCAGGATAAACTGTCTGCCTGCTGAAATAAATCCCACCGACTTGATTTCCTTGGGGATTTTTGTAGTACCCCCCTCCCAGAAGTAGTGTGAAGTTTAACCTTGCAAATCTGGTATCCGATAATCGCACAGGTTGTTAACACGTCGTTAATAGTTAATTAAAGGATTAATGGCATTTATGCATTAAAAGAGAAACGACACGTAGTGAAGACAGAACGTAAATAAATCTGACCCAAAATATCCCATATTAAAGAAATTTTAAATTTCTCGCTTATATATTAAATGTCTGCTTGTGTACCGCTGTTTATATTTGAGTCAAATAAAATGTAAAAAAAAATGTAAACGTTTTTAAATGAAATTCGTGTTTGTGTGTATTCGTTAGGAAACAGAGACACGAAAAATTCATTTTGCCTCAGCAGTTTTTCAGTTGAGCAGTCAGCAAACATTTTGACGCCCGCTTGGCTGTTCAGGAATTAGTAATCAGCTTGTAATGGGGGGAAATGTGGCTTCTGACACGATTTACCGCTGCCGAGGGTAGAACCACGTTCTTCTTCCTGTAATATTTGCCTGTAGAGTCGCGTGTGACATGCACAATTCTGCACTCACCTCACCTCTATCAGACTCTTACGAGGTTTTCGTAAAAATCCTGCAACATCACACTATTTAATCAGAAAATATGGTATTGATTTGTAAACAAAGTAAACGCATTAACCTACACAAGGAGTTATGATTGTTAAAATGCTAACTTCTAAAATGTCTGGACAAATTTTTATATTGTATACCATGCTCTTATATTATACAGCGTTTTTTAATAACCATTAAAATATAACTTTCTAAGTAACACCGTCTGGACGGATTTTGAGTTAGTCGGTATTTCGGATGTGCATTAGTTTTGTCTGGCTAATTTAATTCTATTCTTATCGGTCTCTGCCTCTTGTGTTTTAGGGAGGTTATAGATTTCCGTAGAACGGTTTAGCATTTTGGTATGTGACACATAACGAATACCTCGTTAACATCAAAACTTCTATTCAAATATTTTCAGCATGGTGAACGTTTAATTAAATACACTTTTGGCCTGTGTAGTGTTATACGTGTTGTTTCGTGATCAGGTTTACAACAATATATTTGTACTTTTCTGTTGGTTTAATTGTCTTTGGAAAAATGTTTACATTTAAATCACCATCTCTCATTGCATTAGGTTTGAAATTTGTGCCACTTTCACACTAAATATTTTAGTACATTAACTGCACATCGAAAGAAAAGAGCGTTAAACACAACCAGAACTGGTTAATTTGTCGTAAGGGACGACGTTACTGTTTTCAGGTTGTGGCACCAAAACATCACGTATAAACAATGAGACGAAAACTTCATTGTGTGTGCGAATGTTTGTCCGCTGAATTAATGAACATGGAAAGGTTGTTTGTAACATGAATAACAGCAAGGGCGTTCGTCACTAGAAATACGTTCTTCTAAATTGTCTGTGCGACATTTCTGAACTGAACGTGTTCTGTTAGACAAGCCATAGATTCCAAGTCACTCGTGTACGTCTACGTCAGTGAGGGATGAAGCCAATACTTGCATTAGTGCTTCGTTGAACAAAAATTAAACTAACTCCATGGAGCAGAGTCCTTAGTAAGAAGCTGATAATCGCTCAGATAGTCAATAAATTCCCAGTATTTTTATGAGGAAACCAAATAAACCCACTGTACGTCCCAATATACCATTTCCATTATATACATTTTAATATTATTCTCCCATTTGCGCCAAGGTCTTACGTGTGGTTTTTTTCTTTAGACTTTCCAACCAAAATTCTTACGTATTTCTTATCTCCACTACCCGTACTACATGATGCGTCCATCTCACCCATCTTGACTTGATTATTCTAACAGTATTTGGTGAAGAGTATGTTCAAAAATGACGCACCTCCTCAGTATAAAATCTTCTAAATTCTTAGTCAATTCATTCATCTTATTTTCATCTCGTAGTGAGTGGATTAAGAGGATAGTATATTATTATTACTGGTTTTACAAGGGTACGTAATGAAGTCTACAAGATTCACAAATACTTTTCTCATTATACCTGAGAAGCAGAGCATGGTGCTATGGAAACTGAATTTCGAATATTAATGAAGGGATAAAGTCAAGATGGAGAATTGTCATCAGTATTCTAAACTATCTTATACCTTGCGGGCTACAGAAAATAATTCTTAACAGACAACAGGCTTGTTAATTACTTTCCAACAAATAACTTTTTCATAATACTTGTATTATTATACCATTATGTGTACGGGTGATGTCTGATATGTGTTGAATTTTGTAGGTCTGCAATGCGAAAAACCTTCTGTGCGTTTGGAAAGTGACTGGCGGAGTACGCTCAGCTTTAAGCCGTCGAGTACCGCCGTCAGTAATGTGAAATTTTATTCTGCAAGGCTGCTCCAGTCTTATCGCCCCGATTTCAAAGACTTGCAACAAATTTCCTCCACCATGCCTGTGATTTATCATTTTGGGTGCTCACACAGGCTGTCCTGCTCGTGGTATTTCTCAGTCCCTCTGGACGAATTCTGGATTATCACGCTACATTAGATATGACCGATTCCCTCCGTATCTTATCCAATTCATAAGAAAATAATAATTCATAATTTGACGCTGTATACGTTCAGCTACTGACAGGATTTTGAAATATATCACAAATGAACAAAATAAATACAAATATTAATGGTAAATTTATAATCATAATTAGCCACTGAGATAAACATAAGTCTATATGAATACGTTTGCTGCCTGTCATTTTTAATGCGTATATTTTGCACAAATCTATAAATTCCTTTGTCTTATTAAAATTAAAATAATTATTACATCAAATATGTTTCGTGTCAATGTTATTGTCTAGGTTTTTTCGCCGTGTAGTTGTTACGATCGCGTTGTAAACATCGTCTGACATTTTTAATGTATTTTATTTCATGCCTCAGACAAAAACAGTCGACCGCTTGCGTGTAATGTTCACAATTAACGAAATATTTATAAGTGTTCAATGAATTGCCTTTCCTCTTTCCTCTTTCACCTTACACGTTCTTTTCAAACTACTCTTCCGACTTTTGCAGGCCTGCATATTTGTCCCATTCCTGCAGCGCAAATGTTCACAGCCAATGTATAGGCTAAATCGATAAACAACAAAAATTACCAGGACAAATTTGAACCACCCTTACAAATCTGTATAATTTCATAGCTACAACAGAACTATTTCAGTACTTTATTTATGGCAAAATTAAATCGAATTGTTACGCTTCGAAACGTATTGCTTTTCGGATACGCATAAATTTATTTACAGAAAGCCTAGTATAAACAGTAACTATTATTATCACTGGCTTTAAATACACAAGTGATAACAGAACTGCAAGTGTAAATTCAAATATACTGGATAATGAACAGGGGATATGTCATGTGTTATACAGCTGTTCGTATAAATTGACATATTTTTCTAACTAACGTAATTTAAATTAGGTTTACTGTTAATAATTGTACACGTAACATGCTATATTTCTATAAAAACTGAACTAGACTTCACCCAAACATTTAGTGAAACCCAAGTTTATCAAAAGCACATGGCCTTATCACTAGGTTGTGGGGGCTTCATTTCGTCTCACTTAATGAAGTAAAATAGTTCCTCTAGCCTGTTGTGATTCTCAATTCATTCTAAAATAAAAAAAAATCGTGTAAGACATTTGGTAAGATTTCTATTGTCTGGGTTCAGCCCATTGCAAAGTACTTTCCTAAGAAAGAAAGAAAGATGGATCAATCAGTATGTAGAGCTAACAACTCTATGAAGCAGAACCATTATTAAGAAACTGGAAATCGCTCAGGTTGTAAAACAATTCCTATCTCTTTAAGGAATCCGAAGGCTCCTTACAAAATTTAAAATAAGCCACCACTTGACTCTTGCATACGTTAAGATTTTATTTTTAACTTGCAGTTTTCTCATCTCTCGCTCATGTAAGATTAGGTCTTCTAAGAGGTATCTTTTCTTCAGACTTCCCAGCAAACATTTTTTACATATTTCTTGTGCCCCCATTTGTTCTGAATTTTTTCAGTCTTTTCTCCCCTCAATTTTATTGATCTAATAATAATAGATGTAGATTACAAAGGACGAAGCCTGTCACTGTAATAAATAAGTATACAGTCATTCAATAAATATTTAAATAAACTGATTGTATGCCATTTTAAAGCTTCAGAACTCTCATATTATGAGACATATAAAAGATTTAATTAAAAAATTGTTTCATAATATTGATTATAATTAATTATTATTTCAATATTTTGTGGGCAATTGAAGTTTACTTTGCTTTCAAGGGTTTCAGTCTGTCAAGACATTAATGCCTGTGTATACTTATCACGATGAACCTAATCATCATTATAGTGTGGCAATAATTCAAGCTGTTAGGCACCGACTTTTCGGAGTAGGATCCTTGTTCATTTCCACGTGACATCAAGTGGGATTCGTGGTGGACGAAGTGGCAATAGAGGAGGTTTACCTCCGGGTTCTTGTTTTCCGCAGCTAATCATAATTCCACCACTGCTCCATAGTACCCCATAGTTTGCGATATCTCTGGCCAAACAGCACATTGTCATGCCTGCGGTAATAAGAGGCCTCATCTCTGACCCGACACTTGGCTGGTGTTAAAGTAAAGGTAGTTTAATTTAGTTTCTGTTTTTAAAACTCCAAGCTAATTTGAGCAGTTTTGTATGCAATGTAAAGTGTTTCGAAATAGAAATGCGTTGGTGTTCATTTGACAGGTACTTTGAATTGCTGGAGACATTAACACGGAATCTCATTGCGCTCCGCAAATTCTTTATAGACTTGTGTCATTTTTACTTTCAGGTTTCCAGGTGAGAGAGGAGAGTTGTCCCCGACTGCCGCGAAACACCAAGCTGGCTGGTGCCACTAGCGCATGCCATGACGTCACAGCAGAATTTGCCCCTATTGGTGGAACGCGGCTGGGGAGACCCCTGCATGACTAGGCCACCCATAAGACAGTTCAGTTCAGTCGGAGCCGAGACACAGTTTGATTCACAAAGCCTTAATACCGCCGTTTGCACACGTAAAAAAAACACAAAGCAATTTTCACCCCACCCCTATTTTATTTCATCCACGAATCAAAGGGAGACAATCCCCACCCCTTCTCCCTGAGACCAATTCCTTGTTTTCATAAAAATAACCCTTTCACTGTTACCCCACTTTTAAAAGGAAATTAATTTACCTGTGCCGAGTAAGCCAAACTGCCAACGGTGGATTCCAAATACTTCAGGAAACGGTTTTCCCTCTCCACCTGTCCATCACGCACTTCACTCCCCAACCCCCGCTCACCTCCGCAACATCGACACCACCGCCACTACCATCATCACTACCATCACTGTTGGCCACAAAATACACAAATGACAGTGGACGTAAGTGAACCGGCAGAAAAGATATTCAACTGATAGAACAACGACATCTAGAAATCAGTTACAGTTGGCGGCAGTTGTTCATATTAGTGTGTGGTGAAGTTTTGTGAGACTTTCTTCAACGAAAATAACAACAAATTGTTATCTACAAAACTGTGCAACTAAAAACTTAAACTTATTTGCTGTGTTATAAAACAACGAATATACAATTTGTTTTCGCTGCTCTCGCGAAAACAAACAATTACTGTTGTTACCTCGTGACATTGTCATAAGTAATCACCTTATCTCTTTACCTTCCTCCTCTTCCGGTCCGCTCCCGCTATTCACCTTTTGTGGCCTGACGTCACACTTCGTACTTCCTTCCAACTCATTCAGTTGCTGCTGTTCGGTGAGCGAGTGTCAGTTGCGTTTGGATGAGGCTAGTGCTACTGTCGTTTTAGTTGTGCTTGCGACGTACATCTGAACAATAACACAATTAGTATCAAGCGATATATGAAAAAGTGTGGATTTTCGGGCACGTGAGAGAGTGCCAGTAACTACAAAATTGTCACGTGTTCTCCATGCTTCGTGCTTCGTAAGTGCATCAGCCTCTTTCGGTTCTAACAACGCTCAGCATCTGAATTACTTTAATGGCATTGAATATCAACATTGGAAGACATATTTACAGTGACATAGTTGATTATTAATTGCTTTAGAGTAGTTTTGTGATAGGAACTGTTCCGTTCGTGCTTACATATCACACAAAAGCCCTGTGACAGTGTGCAAGGTATTTTTAACCTTGGAGCTGTTGTATATTTTTGCACAAATAAAAGTAGTATCTCTATTTATTGTACTGTGTTTATAAAGTTGAGACAAAAAGGAAGTGTGAAAAAAAACATTGGCCATTATATTAGAACATTAAATAATAACGAAAATAATAACTATATCACACAAATCGTGGAGAACTACTACAGCACGACGAAAAGAATTCGAGAACATTCGATAGCAGGAGGCAACCTGTCACCGCCATTGCCGCCACCTGCCCTGAAGCGCCAACGTCGGGAGTCACTGTCGCTGCCTCAGCCAACCGTCCCTCTTGCCCCCTCACAGCAGAACTGCTCGCCGGTTGCAGTCACCAGGATGAGCATTAGCGCGGCAAGTATGGAGGCCCCCAACGCGCTCAGCCAAAGCATGGACTCTGTCAGCACCGTCACGGGAGAAGAGGAGGTAGGATGACGCTCTGATGCTTCGTAAAATAAGTCCTAATCATTTATGTTTGGGGTTGAAGCCAAGACATCTTACACTTTAAGATAAAATACTCCGACACTGAACTTATCACGGAATACAGGCCCGTGTATTTAGGATAATTCTGTTTTCGCGAAAGAGACATCGCTTCATTTGCTTAAACGAATTTCTCGCGTCTCTCAGTTGTATATTATTGCCAGACTATAATAATACGCCTTGCCAAGAACATGCACTATTTATTTAATATCTGTACTCTAATCGACAGTGCAGTAAAAAAATAGTTTGATTAAGATTTACAGAAATTTATTTTTAATGACTTTAAAATAAACCGTTAGTGTACCGTGCTTCAGGGTTGTTTGACTTTTTGAAATGTTAGGTTCTCAGGACGAATGAGAAGGTGACTTATCTTTTGGGTTGTCGTTCTGATGATGGAAGCGGTAAGCGTCTCTGTAACGTTAGCCAATTTCTACCAGGCTACACGTCTCAACAATCCGAAAGTCAATAATCCTCTCGCCTAACTTTCTTTGCTGCAGGAAACTAAGCACATAAAGCAGTGTTTCTGCATAATTTATGTCAGACACACGAAATACTAACATTGATATATAAAATTCATTTTTGAAATACTCAAATTCTAACACAATCTCGTACCCACAACGGGTCGATTCCAAAGTATTTAACGATTTATTGAGTTTACAGAATCGTAAAAAAAAATTATCCACTATTGCGCATGCGTGATACGAGCGATATTAATTTTGTAGATGGCTGTCTTTTGCGACTTTCAGAGGAACTTTCTACTTTCATCATCAGAGGTACCGTTTTAAATAACAAATAAGACCAACTGCAGTTCTTCAAAATAAACCTATTGTCAGTGTAGTAATCGGGGTTAATCTGTGCGTTCTAGGTCCGTTAGGCATGTTGATCAGGAAAGTGGGAGGGGTAACAGGTAAGGGAACGTACGCTGACATTTCTTAAATATTATTTACCAGAGGCAGTACAGTGTAGCTCGCCTCCTCGATCAGTTTCTGTGTCGGTAATGTTTTTAGTTCGCGTAGTATATAGCACATGGGTTTTCTTCTTCCTTCAATCTGGTTTGGTCACGGGCATTGTACGTGTATTTGAATGTGAACACTTTCCAGAATCACAACCTTGAATTTCGACATTCTTACTGGATGAAACAGAGGAAATTTAAAAAGGGAGCTGAAGAATGGGTTTATTATAGGTTGATGGGTCACACTTAGCACTGCAGAACGCTGTTAGGTCGTATAATACCGATTAACGATTGTAAACAGACGTTTTGGTTTAATCGACGTCAGTTGAATGACATAATTAATGGGAACGTTGTACATAGAGCTTTTAAAATAATTACACACTTCTGTAAGAACACGACATGAAAAGAGATTCACACACGTGTTGAATTCCAATAAAAGAAGATTTTATTTCGCACTTTGAAAACAGGACTACAGTCCTGGTACGTATTAGATAGAGCATCGTATTGTTTTCTTGCAAATAGCCAAATCACAGCATTTATAATATTAATTGATAATATTTAAAGAATGCACTATAGTAAAAAAGTTAATTTCTGAATTACCGGTTATAATGACATTTAAATATTTTTTTTTATTTGTAGTGTTCTGTCTGACGACAGGTCCATATGAACAGGATCCTTCCATCCTTTTCTCGGACTGGGACCTGTTCATATACGTTCTTGGCAGATGATCCAGAAGTGGTTTGCCATTGCCTTATTCTGTGTGTGAATGGAGTAATTGTGGGGATGCCACGGAGAAACCGGGGAAGCCCCCGGAGGAAACCTCCGTGATGCCTAGACCACGGCCTTGCCCAACACAAGTTATAAATCTTGAGCACCACCGGGAATTGAACCCGGGACCCCAGGATTACAAGGCCAGCGTTCTGACCGCTAGACCACCGTCGGTCATTTAAATATTAAAAACTATTAAAATTAACTTGAAACTGGAGTACTTATTTCCAAAGAGCTAAGTTGTACTGTTTACATTTTGTTGCTGGACAGATGAAAAACTGATCGTAACAACTGATATCATCACTTGGTGTGATTCAATATGGCTGTCAGAATTAGTTAGTTAATTTATTTTGTTGCTTGATGAATGTTATTTTAATCTGCTTTGAATCGTTAATATTATAGTTAATGTCTGACAATGAGAACAAAACAGAATAGGCCTATGTTGTTTTGTCAGAAACAATTTTACCGCACCAAAGTTTGTATCCCCGCAATGACTGTTCATTTAATCCGTTATATTGTTTATAATTGTGTGTTACTCATGTTAGTATCATCATCCGAATCAATAATGTCCATAAAAGCTCTATAGTCGTTCATATAGTCCACAAGGATAACGAGGTTATATTAACATTCTGTCTGTTTCTGGCAACCTGATTATTGGTACTAACGCCACCACGTGCGTGCCTTGCTGATATATTTTTTTTATAATTATTACGTTTTCATAATGTAATTAAATTCACAGACCATGTAAGAATAAGCGTGGCACTAATTCCGAGAATTATTTTAATAATTTATTTACGTATATCACAGAAGGGCCATGGTGGTCTAGCGGTTAGAATGCTGGCCTTGTAATCCTGGGGTCTCGGGTTCGATTCCCGGCGGTGCCCGAATTTATAACTTGTGTTGGGCAAGGCCCGTGGTCTAGGCAACACGGAGTTTTCCTCCGTGGCATCCCAACAATTACTCCATTCACACTCAGAATAAGGCAATGGCAAACCACTTCTGGGTCATCTGCCAGGAACGTATATGAACAGGTCCCAGTCCGAGAAAAGGATGGAAGGATCCTGTTCATATGGACCTGTCGTCACACAGAACACTAAATAAATAATATAAATATCACAGAAGTGGTAATGCTACTTGTCGCTGTTTCGTTTTATTTTTATGGAATTTAGTATGATGCAATGTAAGTTTCTCGTTGTGCTTCTTAGGCTAAATTTTGAACTTCAAAGTTACTCTGAGGGACGAGTTACAAATCGATTCTGTTCAACGTATAAATCAATCGGTGTGCGTGTCTTCATTATTGTATAGAATTCATTATAGTCGACTGTATTTTTTGTCAGGCAGTAATTGTATTAGTACTATCAAATTGAAATTGTTCTTAAAAACTTTAAAAAGAAAATAATAGACCAATTCAAGAATAAGTTAATAATTATGACTTTATATACGCCCATTGCAGTAATTTATAATTTACCAGTGGAGTAGTTGAGAGGCTTCTAAATGTAGCATAGTAACTCCACGTACCGGAGTGGTTCCTGAGAACCTACTAGTCGCTCATCCAGTATTGAAATTTCCTGTCTTTATGTCACCGGAAGATTTATTTCTGTGTGAACAGAAGCCCGTTACTGGTTCCTATTCCGAGCCAAATCAGTCTACTTTTAGGTCTTCCAAGCTTCAAAATTTTCATCTCTCTCATATGTTTTACATAGCCAGCCTACCTTGATTTGATCATCTTGATAATATTTGCTGAAGAAAAGAAATTATGAAGCTTCTTGTTATAAATTTTCTTCATATTACGTAATCATTATTATTTCAATTTAACTTTGGAAGTGTTTTTCTGTTGCGTTTTCGTGACTAAGTTTGATCATTATCGAACACAGGACATTTTAGACAACATGACATTAACGTCTGAGAGCTCTTCGAAGAGAACAACACATACTACTGTTAGTCATATTCCGAAATTTATCGCCTGTTAGTAAAATATTTCTGACATTTTCCAGTCCATAATTTTCGTTATTTAAGATTCAGACTACCGGATATCTATTCGCCATAGCCATACACAATCTGGTCGTACGTTCATGTTGTATTGATTCTTGATTAGATTCTTATCTGTAATAGTTATTGATATCAACATGGAAGTTAAATGTACATTTCGCGTAGTCACAGATTTGTTATCTAGGAAAGTGGTTTTTCAAAGATCTGTGACAACTCATCACATAGAATAGCTCTAGAATCGTTTCCACCTCATATGTTCGTACGACCATTCTATTCACAACAAACTTCTGTGTAGTTCGAAAAGAATTTTTCCATGTTTTTCGCTTTTCTGTAACAAATGATGAAAATTTTCCCGTCAGTTTGGCTTTGTGAATGAGCCAGTTAATGTTTTTATTTTAATGCCCGTAGAAAATGCGAGTTTTGGATAAACTGGCGATATTAATATTTGTTTTGGTGACGTTTGAATCGGACATTTTATTTCATTCAGTAAACCTTCTTCAAAATAAGCACTTTGAACTTTACCTTCTGAGGTCTGGAACGAATTATTTGTCATGTCCCAAAAGAGGCAGGCAAGCAAAACGAGGAAAGTAAAATTGCTTTAAAGTTGTACTATGAAAATGATTCGGTTTTGTCAACTATAAAGAAAGCTGAAATTTAATTCCTTTAATATTTTTCTTTCTCAGACCAAGAGATGTTCTAAACTCTTCCTTGAGCCCTCAATTGAAAGATAACTGTCCAGTCTCTTCCTCGAATTTTCCCTGTCACACATTTACATGTAGGAGAGCACTTTTTTGCATTCCTTAACCTAAAGGAATTTGTAATGAGGTTTCCCTGCAATATATCTGTCTGTGGGCCAACAAAATTGTTTGGAACGTAAAACACTTTTTTGGAGTTTTTGTCACTGACATGAGTAACATGTGCTGTTGAGTCGTTAAACCTTGAGCTATTTAACACTCAGAGTTCTGAGGCACGTTTTTTTATTACCAAAACTCGTCTTAATCTGTACTGTGTCGGATTCTTCATATTTAACCTCACATAGCCTGTCTGTTTTGGTTTGCTAGAACATAACTGGTGTAAAACTTTGAAGTAAGTTTATGTAATCTGCTTCTCTGTCTAAAGTAAAACACAGCATATGGTTGGTGATGATAGGAAATATCTTGTAGATCATCATGTGTGTGACCCATATCTTTAGTATCTCCCATGAGGATGTCACATTAGAATCTGAGTTATTAACTGA